GTGAAGGGGATGTTGCCACAAGGGCGAGTGCGACAGTCCGGCTCGCTCGTGGGCGAGCCGAGCCAACCGCCCGCGGCGGCCAGTGAGCCAAGATGAGTGTCGGCAGTAGAGGACCCCCTCCCAGACCCCTAGCCACCCTAACCTCCCACTCCAAACACCCAAATTCGTTCCCTCTCACCCTCACATCCCCCCCCCCCCCCCCCCCCCCCCCTCTCTCTCTCTCTCTCTCTCTCTCTCTCTCTCCCCCTCCCTCAACTCCGCCCCCACCTCCTTCTGCACACACAGCAGCCGCAGGTTTCATTTCGGAGGATTACCCAGTTCGGTTCGACATTGGAGGGTAAATACGAGAATTGCCTGGAGATACTTGAATCGAATCGGCTTCTTTCCTCCCCCACCCCTCCTTTCCCAACGGCATGGCCAGGCTAGCCCACAAGAACGCTGTTGCCAAGCAATGGTGGTCCATAGGTCACGTCACGACGTCACGTCTCCGGAGGAACCACGCGGTAACAAGTCAGGTCTCTGGAGGTACCCACGGTACTAAGCTAGGTCACGGTACCACGTGACGTCTCTAGAGTCTGGTGTCGCACCCGCCAGAAGTCACGTCGTTCGATCTTCAAAAAAAAGATGAGCACGAAAAATGTCAATAATAGCGACACGTCTGTAGCGAACGAAAGGCTATAAGTATTGACATCAATGTTATGATTTCGTACAATCAGAACATTCTCTGTAAATACAGGAGTGATTTCACACCCTCTGATTTGGCTTTGCTCCCTACGGATTTAAACGCCATTTCCCACATGTACGCTGTACGGACGGAGAACCACCGTTTTATCAACTTGTTCATCCTTTTATTTGGCAGAAAATTGAAGCCAGCCGAGGAGAAGGCAAACACTGTGGAGGCCATATCAGGACGGGAAAGAGGGAAAGAGGTAGGGGGGTAGAACAGGGGTGGAAGAGGTGGTAGGGGCAAGGCAGCAAAGCGACTATCAGCTCGCGGTGAATCGAGAAGTGAACGTTTCACTTTGTTTCACTTTGTTTTACATTATTGCTCTTAATAATTTAGAAAAACAGGACTGGGTGGCAAAAATAATGAACACCGAGAATTTCTTGTAAGGGTTACAGGAAATACTTCCACGATGTGTGTTATAAAATCACAACTTAAAATTGTGAAACTACAAATAGTACGTTTATTAACGTGGAATTTATTGAAGATCAAGAGTGGGCAGTAGTAAATTTACAACATATTTTTTCAATCGTAAATACAAAACGTGTTGTAAATTTACAGGGATTTTTTTAGAATGGAATATTTATTACATTGGCTTGCAATATAATTAATGTCATAATAAGAACAACGAATTGGATTAGGTAACAATCACTATTTTCGATTCCGATACGGTATGTGGTTGAGGTTACGTCGGTATCGCCCTCGCCTCGTCGCCGCCGTACATCCCCACATTGCGACATTGCCTTCTACGGCGTAAATACCCAACGGGGCGCGGTGCGGCGAGATGCGGTGGGCGGGGCGGGGATGAAGGGCCTATAGGCCTGCGTGGGAGTCCCGACGCAACTCAATCCATCGCTCCCGCCTCCCAAACAATCATTTGCTTTTCAAAAACAAAAACAAAAAAGCTTCGTAATTTCGAAGAATTTTCCCTGCAAAACTTTGACCCTACTTTTCTCCCAAAATTTTATTTTGTGCGCGAGTAAAGATAAAGTTGTTTGCTTTGTATTATCTTATGTTCTTTGTGTCCTACATTTTGACTCGACATTTCTTTCGAAATGTGCAAATAAGAAAACAAATGACCCAAATCTCTCAAAACATTATGCGTGACTATTCATGCAAAAACCTCAGTATTTTCTTTCGGTAACGGAACGGAAGGGTTTCGCCGGTTTTGCCTCTTCACGCCGTAGGATTATGTTATTAATGTGTGCCTTCTCCGAACCAGAGGCCACTTATAGGGCGTTTATTCAAAACAAATCTGCGGTGGAGGTTTGCACCGAGTGCGCGGGCGCCCCCACCGGCCCCAACCTCACACCTCATGCTGCGACTGCTGCTATCCGACAACCGCTGCCGCACCGCGCCGCGTGCGGGGGGCGCACAGTCGTCGCGCACCGAGGCTAAAGAGGGCGTGGAGCAGTTAAGATTTTCTCTCACCTGAAAAGACGTAATGTCTCTCTGTGGCACACCCGGCTCGGCGGCCGCCCCGGGGCGGAGCGAGAGGTGTGCAGCGCGCGATATAAAGCACGTGTGTGTGTGTGTGTGTGTGTGTGTGTGTGTGTGTGTGTGAGTGAGGGAGAGTGCGGAGAGAGGGGGAGAGTGTGTGCGTGTGTATGTAAACGTCTGTTTTAATGGACGCGCCGTGTAGCCTTTCTGATGTGTGCATTAACAGCACAGGTTGAGCGCCCCCTGCATGCACCATACTGGCCTTGCTCGAGCCTCTCCACTTCTTTGCGGCGTTATGGGTGCCGTTTGTTGATGGCGTCACACGGCGATGGTAGTATAGGATAGGGGCGTTGGGGTATGGCGTCCGCGAAAGAGCACTTCCCGCGCCCGCGCGCTCACCGCGTTCAGAAATGGATGCACGGGGTGGTGGGCCCATAAGACCCCTCGCGGCCACAATTTAGTTAAACTGACGAACCGCATGCGGGTGGCGCGTTGCATATACTCGCAAGAGGGGGCCCCAAGGTGCCCAGTCGTTGAGAGACGGTAGGCAAGCTCGCCCGCCGCCCGCACGGCTGCATCTGTGCGAGAGATATGTCACCCCAGTAAAAACGATGACGATGAAACGTGAAGGGTTGGAAAAATACGAGACGCGAATGAAGTTGAGCCATGTCGTACCAGTACCGCAAAAAAAAATGAAAAGACACGGGGTCGACTCTGGGCGATGTGGACAGGAGCAACCAGGCCAACCGCATCAACCGCGCGCGCTGCAACGCACACTTGCGCGGCTCCGGAGAGAGGGAGAGGCGGGAGGAAAACACAAGGAGAAGAGCGAGAGCGAGAGAGGAGAGACCAGCAGCAGAATAATTGTTCATGGAGCAAAGAGCAAGCAAAAGGACCGTTGCCATGCGGAAGAGAGGTCCTCCGCTGCCGTGGCGGGGCGGGGCGGGGCGCGGTGCTTCCCTCACTCATGGCTTTTGCCCGCTCGAGAAGCTAAAAGTATAAATGGTTTGCCAGCGACCCGGGGCATTGTGGCGCCCACGGCGGGACAAAGCGATCGCTGATCGCTCTCAATAGCGACGCGGGAACGGCCCGCCACGCCACGACTAGACATGGCCAGGAAAAAAAAAGCAGAAAATATGTATGTGCGCCGTTTTGGAGTAATGATCCCTGCAATCGACGACGCCCGCCCGGGACTTCGCTGAACTGAATAAATGACGAGGCAGACTCTGGGAAAGGAGGGGGGGGGGCAAAAACATAGGAATAAACGCCATGGAATTTTAGTTACTTTTGTTACAGTCGCTAAATATCAGAGTCCTTTTCAGGTCCAAAAATCAAAGATGTGTCAACTCCTGAAACTTTACTGCTCGAAACGGAAACAGAATGTCGCACACTTGGACGCCCATTCGTACACTTAAGGGAGTAAAGGTGTGAATTATTTTCCTTTTTAATTCATACACTTGTGCATTCAGGGATATAAGAAGAAAGAATGGCGTTTACACTCCAAGAAGTGTGCGACATTAGCACCTTTGGGTTCCCGGGGTACACCTTACAAGGCTATCGATATAGAAATAATAAGTTCTCTCGAGCGCCCGTGTGTTTGCACTGAGGATGTTTGTCAAAATAAAGGTATCTGTGACATTTAATTTTTACAATTATTACGTCTTTGGTCAAAAATCAAAATCAAACCACTCTCTCATGACTTCTCAGATGACAAGAAGCGGCGCCTCGGTGGTCGCCCCTTCCCCCTCCCTGCTCCACATCCGGCTACTTCCGGTCTGGACCTCTCTCTCTCTCCCTCTCTCCGGCTGCCGCGCGCGCCTTAGCCTCGCCGCAAGCTCTCCATTCTCTTACGCCCAACTGCTAACGAGTTGCTTTAGAAAAAAAAGTGGGGGGAGGAAGGGATGTGGTTGGAGGGGGAAGAGGGGGGAGGAATGCAGCTCGTGGGAGGATAAGAGGACCCGCAATCACCGGTCCGCTTGCATTGTAACCTCCTTGGCCACGTAGTACGTCCTTCCGTGCGCCCTGCCTCGCCTCGCCCCGCCCCGCGCGGCAGCAGTCTGACCTCTTTGTCAAACACGCCCCCCAGCAGCGCCCCCGCGGCTCCTCTTCTCTTCGGACGCGCGTTCAAAGTCTCCCGCCGGTCTCTCTGACGCGGCCCCGGACCTGGCGGGAGCGAGCGGAGAGACACAGGAGCGCCCCGGAGACAGCCTCGCGTATCGATTTAAAAGGCATTACTCTTTTCTCCGCGCGCACAACAATCAGAGCAATTTGTGCCTTTGTGGTTATCGTCGAGTGAAAGGCAGCGGAGCGTTCCGTCTCTTTCCTCCGCGCGCCCCCTTCTCTCTTTCTCTGTCCCTCCTTTCCTTTCTTCTGACGTCTCTCTCGCTCTGCTCAACCTGCCTCGCATCTCGCTCTCACCCCCTCGCTGCCCCTCCAATCGACGCGGAGCCGAGCGTCACCTTTCCCTCGGCGAGGTTCGAGGACAACTCACCACGCCGGAAGTACTTCCGTCCGTCCGGCCGCGCAGGTCCTGGTCAAGCTCGTCCTCCTCGTCCTGGTCGGCGCGCCGCGCTCGCGCCGCGGCCCTGGCGCCCTCTGTCGGGTGGAGGACGCAAGCTGCTCCGCGCACTCGGCGGCTGGACCACACCACCCACACCGCGCGCCTCCCCGGGGAAGTCATACTGTCGACAACCAAACACAATAAGTACAAGGTGATGTGGTGCTACGGAAAAGGAGCACGCGTTTATGTTCCGCGAGGGTGTCTCGAACGTTAAAATACATGCAGGAGTTAATTCATTCTACAGTGCGAGAGTCGGCATAAGACAATTTTACCACGAGGACCCCGATCTCAACCAAATTACAGTGAAAACTAATGTCAATACAATACCGAAATTGCGTCAATTTCTCCTTCTCGACATCTTTTGGACATCGTTCCGAAGGGGTGGTATCAAGGAATGAGTCGAGATACCGTGCCGACGCTGTGGCGGGCAAGTCACGCGTACGATGGGTTGCCTACCTGCCGGGCGCTGGCCCACAGTACTTGATGGGAGCGGAGACAGCTCGACGTCCAGCCCCGGCAGTTGGAGACCACGAGAAGACTTCGGCAAAACCTCCCCCCCC